GGTCACAATCTTTAATTGACGATTTTTCCTTATTATTGACCCAAATATTTTATAACTGCATATTTGTGACCTTCTTACATCGAAAGCAATCAATTAAGCTCAAAAAACTCGCATGTAAAATTTTAGTTTTTGGTCGAAATATTTCCAAGGGTGGGTCCTTGTTGGCCCAAAACAAAAAGTGCTTTTTTTCGCAAACTGTTAACCAAAAACTTCGCAATTTGAAACGTGGGTCTTTCCTCTTAAGGGTGACTTGAAGAAGCCGGAGAAATTATTTGCCAAAGTTTCACCCCCATTCTTTTTGATTTCGATCTTTTGAAAAAACACTGTAGCCGCAGGCTAAAAAAGCAAGTCAAACTGTTGGCCCAAGACAAAAAAATGTTTTTTTCGCCAACTTTTGTCCAAAAACTCTGCAGCTTAAAAATCGGGTCATTCTTTTCGAGATTTAAGATGACGAACACGGCGGAGCGCTCGGGATTTTCTTCAATTGATTATAACAAATCTAATAACTAGTTTGTCTTTGTGTGTGTAACAAGCCAGGACCGGTTCCGAACTTCTTTTGTCACTTTGGTCGTGACGTTTTGCTAGCACGCATGGCCAGCATCTTCAGCGTTGTGTCCGATTTGGGCGAAAAAGAAGAAATTAGTACTAATATATCGGAAACCGGTCCTGGCTTGTGACTTGGCCAAAATACTGTGTAACTATGTAACTTTATGAAAGCCTATCAATGTTGAAAAATGTTTGTATCTTTGTAGAAACTCGCTATTATTTCGTTTGTTTTGATTTCCAGGTTGTGAACAACGTCTTCCCGTAGCTGAGCTGCAGCTTCGAAGAAGTTAAAACAGCATTGCCAAGACAACTTGTTTCTCATGCCTTCGATTTAAGCATATGCATTCAGACAAATATCCCAATTGTCCCATTACACATATTAAGACTAATTTAAGTAATTCGTCTGTTGGTTCTGCGAAGTTTAACATCGTGGTTCAGTCGCTCTTGGTGTAGTGTGGCGCTAGCAGGCAAATTGTCCCCCATCGGTTTGTTTGTCTCGATTTTGAAAGTAGTAGTGATTTAGCCCCGAAAATTAGCTGGTGAATTAACACGTTGTCGCTGCTGAGGTCAAATTTCTTGCAAACGACCATTGAAATGCAGTTTCGCCAAGACGGCCGCGTTTGATCATAATCATCCGACATTTGGGTTGTCTGTCTAAAGTAGAACCTGAACATAGAGGGTCAAGACTGATTTATACCCGTTGTTTGTGATAAATGGATATTGAGTCTAGCTTCCTGCACATTAAGATGCTAAACATCGACAACAGCTTCCTGCAAAATCGACGCCAACGTGAAACTACCGGCATCAAGAAATTGTACAACTCCTTTTTTGTTATGTTTTAAAACCTCCAGTGCATCAATTCTGCATTTTTGAACTGATTTCTTGGTAGATGGTAGGCTCGATATAGCCATAGACACATTGTTTTTTTTTAATTCGGCTCATTCCAAATTCGCTAGTTGAGGTCGTTTAGAAATCCTCACGCTTTCAAACTAGTATCGCACTAGTCAGTTTCATTCATCGACTTCGTCGTCCTATTATGGATTTTACATTTTATGCGAACTCTGATGCACTATTAATCGAAACGTCGTCAACGAGCTCCAAGGAGTCGTGGGCGTTATCCAACGGTATCGTGATGGACAGTGGAGAAGAGTATTTCGGGTGGAACGCTTTGAAAAATGTTGAAACCGCCGAAGGAAAGCCGCTCAACAAGAAGCGGAAAATATCGTCAGATCTGCGCGAGGATCAGCTCAGTACCAAACAGCCAAACATCTTCAAGCTGTTGAAGGACCCGTTGGAGTTGGATCAGAAATTGGAGGCCGTTAAGAAGGTTGCACATAATGGAAAAGGTGAGTGTTGCAGAGTTGAACAGCCACCAAACAGCCAAATCCTGTCATTATCTCCATTCCCTTCGCCCCGAATCGGCTAACTGGCCTGAACTACTTTACAAAGGAAGTACCTTTTAACCAGTTAGTTAGCACTTTGTGCTAATAAAAATCGCCGCACAAAGTGGGTGTAGATGTGACGTCCTTTGCCGTCTTACTTTGGCTAGTTTTCAGCCTGAGAACGTTTATTTTTAACGTAGATTTTCAGGCGGAAGTGGACAGTAGAGCGTTACCTGCTAATCTCGTTCATGTATAGATCAGAAGACGCTTCAATGGTCTAGTTGCCTAAAGTAGGCCAAGTTGTTAATTGCCGGATGGGCCTCGTTTAGCTCAAGTTGAAAATTGTACATTTTTCTGTTTGGCGCAGCGACAGACATGTTTTAAACACCATCGTAGGGATGTTTGATTTAAGTTGTTTGTAAAGTTATTCAGTCGCCCACTCATGTGATGTTTGGCCTGGCGGGCCTCAAAAATGTTCGACCTCCGAGCGTTTAGGTTTTAAAGAGAAAAATCCTAATAAAGCGCAAAACTTTAAAATATCTGGATATGAAAGCGCGATTGCTGCGCAACTGCTCAAGGAAGTAGAATGCGAAAACGTTACGAAGAAATTATATTCACCCGCCTTGTTTTGTCGAATTCGGAACTAATTTGTCATCAACACCAATTTGAGCACATAAAATAATCCATGAATTCTGGGTCGTCTGTAAGTTAATTCCAGTATTTATATAAAATCCAACGTAACCGAACCTTATCTGGAAAGTGGCATTCAGTTATCTCAAACTACAGATACGCAAGTTATCAAAACTTTGTATTCCGTCTGTCTTCGCAATGTTTTCATTGAATTGATGATGATTTGTGGTTGCCAAGCTAATGCTTGTTAGTCGTAAAATTAGTGAGTGTTTGCTGCATTCGAGGGCCTATAAGATGTTAACGTTCGATAGCGTCTACAAAAGTATGTAATCAATTTAGTGGACATTTTTCGAACTGAGAAAATGTGGCGTAATCAGGGAATATGAGAAGAATTGGGGAAATGTTCTACTGCTTGCTCAAATCGCAAAGTTTTCTTGCGCAAATGCTCTCTCAACTCAAACTTGCGAACATCTGAAAAATTGACCCAGTAGAGAAAGAATGTTTCGGTTTTAGAGCCAAAAATGAGCGAGAACTTCGACGTATTTGCTCAGCGCAGCAAAACAGTGCACTTTGATACGTTGTTCGCATTTACAACCTACAGAGTGTTTCAGATGAAATGGCCAGAACGGAATCCGGTTTATTACCATAAATGAAACTTTATATATTTTGAGGGTTAACCACAAATGTGATACAAATGTTGTTTAAAGTATGTTCCACATTTTCGTTTCAACTCGATTTATTGCAACCATTCGCAAGGAATCCATTGACTTACCAAACATTCTGTATATCTGAAGTTTTTCGGCAAAACATTTAGTAAATCGCACAAAAAATCTTCTTTCTAATGTAGCGACAATTTGCGTGCTTGAATTTATTGGTAGCATGTTTTAACCATTTAGTATTCGGAGCTTTTAATTATTAAGCTAGAAAACAAGCGTATTAATTAATGGTACCGAAGCGTGAACATCTTGGTTATTAGCAGTTGATCTCAATTGACATCGCTTAAGGCAAATGTATTGTTCGGTTACCAGTACTTTTGTCGTGTTATTGCAAATGTAAGATAAATAGGAAGTTTTGCATTCCGGGCTCAGCAACAGTTCTTAGTCTTCCTTCGCGGACCAAATCAAATCACATTAGCCTACACCAGAACTCCAAGGCCTCGGTTATTGTTTTTTTAGCTGGTTCTTACATAAGAGTACCAAATTGTTTGGCACCCAAATCGACTGTCGATTTGTCAAATCTTGTTTGTTCTTGGGGCTTAATTAGTTAATTAAATAGACACTTAAAATCCATTTTGCCCAACAGTGGTACTGAAGTAGGCAGTGTGGTGAACATTTTTGAATAATGTTTGTGGAACCGTTCTGTTACTCGGTAAATCTGGGTATGTAATTTCTATTGATTGATCGAGCGAACATTCAACAATTGGTGTGGAATCGAGTTCAAAATTCTACTATCAGAAGCTGTTTTGAGATACATTTATCACTGGCCATACAAAGGCCATTCTGGGTCACTCAAATCAATAGCAAAACCGCCAGCTACATAAACGATAAATGACGATTTGTCATCAAGAATTTGATTCTTTCAGAGCCAAACATTAGGTAACCAGCTAGACCTTAAGCTCACATTGAAAATGTTGAAGCATAATTTTTTTTGTTGTTATGAATTACAACAATGCAAACTTGCCAGTTACTGTTCAAATATTACTAAGTGATATGACTCTTCTTAAGTGTCCTAAATGAAAAAGGTCATAACAATAAAGTTCTCATTACGATAATCAAAGCTGATGCCGCTTGGTTGGGCTCGATTTTTTTTGATGACGACAAGCATGTCTTACACGTGTCGAACTGGAATTTCAAAGAAAATTGCTGCTTGGCACGTTTTGTTGTTATTGCAAAAGTGTAGAGTTCAATTGACTTATTTTCATGGACAGGCAAAGATAAAATTAGGTTTTACCTGCACAATAAAGCGAATTAATATTTTGCAAAAAAATGCAATGAGCGCAAATATCGGAACAAACACGGGGAACGCAACCAGCACCAATGCGTTTTATAAATCTTGTACAAACGGACTAATTACACACTATTTTAACTTTTTTCTGCTGCTTTGAATAGCGCGTTCTAATATGAACGATGCGCAAAACCATGATCTAGAAGATTCAAAAAGTCGTAATACCTGGAAATGTCCGTCCCCACGATGCGATTTTTACATCAAATCGCTGGCAAAATATGGCCCAAAAACGGAAGTTTCCATACAATGAAATGCTAACATGTTAAACTTATGATGGTTTCTTCAATTTTTTAGGTTCGACGAGAATGCCTTCGCAATGGAATGTGGAAGACTATGGAGATATCCAGCAGGAAATCGACAATTCCCTAAACCTGGATGCGGATTTATCCGCAAATCATTATTCCAGGTAGGTAATAAATAATGCAAATTTTCTCAGCAGTCGCCGGCGAATAAACGCCTATTGATTTCCTCTGAATAAACGGCTTTGTACCAACGTCTATATATAGATTTTTGTCTACAAAACGCTGTCTGTATCGTCTAGGTCGATTAATTTGAGCTTTTGCCACTTTTGAGTGCCTGCAAATTGCAAAGCAAATAGCCAGCGCGCTCTAACAAAGTGGCACATACACGGCAATCTGAAAACAATAATGGGCTAATCGGCCAATTTAGGCGATAATTGCCACATTTGCCATGTAACATCCTGTATTTCGCTTAACACGTACAAAAGGATCAGTAATCTCTATTTCAGGCCGTTAAAGGAACAGGTTTTAATCAGGATCGCATGGAACCTTTATTTGCCTTTAATATTATCAAGTAACCGGCACATAAAATCATCTGTTAGATCATTTTGCATAAGCTGATACCATTTAAAATTGGTTATGCAACCGAGACCATTGTACCATATTTTTCGTACAGAAGAGATAATTGTTATATAACGATAGTGTAATATAAAAATTCGCAGCACAGACAGTTTCAAGAACTTCTATTAATTTATCTCTATAGGAAATAATGTAATTTTGTTATTGTTTCAGTGAGTCGAAGTCAGCAATGAACAGTCTGATGGTGTTCAAACAGGAAGCTCTGTCTCCCACAATGAACGAGGTGGCTCATTCACAGGCTCGTCACAATCGGCAAAGCCCTACATCGACACAGAAAGGAGCCATGGTGAATCCGATCAACAGCACCATGGAGGAGAACAGCCAGAACATGTTCAACAGCACAATCAATCAGCTTTTGAGCCAAAGTGCCTTGGTTAATTTGCACAGCGTTATTGATAGTGAGTGCGCACCGCTCCTATTCTGGCTGAATTTTCGTTATGTTCGATGCTTTTTGCAGACAACAATTTGTCTACATCGCCACATTCCCAGGACAACTTTGGAGTCTCTTCCACCAATAATTACAGTTCGCTGGAAGATTGTCGATTCCAGTATGTTTTGGCGGCCGCCACCAGCATTGCCACCAAACAGAATGAGGACACTTTAACATACTTGAATCAGGGACAGAGCTATGAGGTCAAATTGAAGAAATTGGGCGATTTGTCCATGTATAGAGGCAAATTGCTAAAGGTAACTTTCAACAGGCCGTTGTTTGTTAAGCGTCCCTGATTCCCTGTGTTTGGATTAATCGCTCGACCGATAGCCGCAGAAAAAGTAACTGTAAATCACTGACTCAGCATACAACCTTCTACTAGAAATTAGAAAATAATAAACATTACACCATCCACTAATAGTTGGAAAATTAGACCTTCGAATAATGTAAAAATAAATAAGCAGGAAAGCAACATCAACCTATTCCTACCAGCTAGGTTTTGTTTCAAATCTTGTTCCTGACAGAACAG